TCTGGATGGATGGGACGCAGCATATTAAACAATGCATTCATTGTAGATAGCGGCACTTACGTCTTAAAAACAGACTCCTTGCAATTCCGCCAGAAAACAGTTACCCTGTACTTCTGCCATGCATCCGATTTCTGCCGCAGTTTCTACACCCATTAATAACTTTCACCCATGAAAAACCTACAGGCTTCAGTTCAGGCATTTCCGGTTTCCGCGACGGGGTTCGCACTGACGAATTTGAAGCAACGGCATAATACGCCCATTTCTCGCGCAAAATCTGTTTATAGGCTGTGCTCCGTAATTTCAGTTTATTCAGTTTATTTGGTAAGGATAATAGGCAAAGCCTTTGAAAACCCTGTTGATTACATGTCAGCTCGTTAGAATAACTGTACACGAACAAAAGATGTTCACTATTAAAACAGTACTTGGTTCATTTGAGTAGCATTGTCTCAGAGAAAATATTTGTCTGGACCAGGGGTATTAATTCAGATTCAGACTGTCGAGGGAAAACAGGGGACACAAATAATCATCCAAGCGTTTCTTGAAGAGTTGCAGGGATGTAGCCTCCACGACTGACTGAGGGAGATCGTTCCATTTCTCCACTACCCTCTGCGTGAAAAATTCAGAACGGAGATTCAGCCTGGACATTGTTGTCCGTAACTTCATCGAGTGACTACGAAGATTGGGTGAAAGGTGCCACTGAAACATGTCCTCAAATTTAAGTCCATACTCAAGGCCATGTATTATCATGTAGACGAGGATAAGATCACCTCTTTGCTGCCTGTAACACAGAGGAAATAAATTAAGGCAATTCTGTCTGTCTGTGTAGGAATGGCTTTTTAGACCGTTTACCAGCTTTGTTGCACGCCGTTGTACCCGTTCGAGGCATTCTTGGTCCTTTACCAGCCATGGCCGCCATGCTTGTATGCCATATTCTAAGTGGGGCCGAACAAATGTGCTGTAAACTCTCCCAAAAAGGTCTTGGTCAAAATTTACGAAAGCCCTTTTTATTGCATGCAGCACTCCCATGGCGTTTTTTGCAGCCTTGTGGCACTGCAGTGTTGGTTTCAGGTTGTTCTGTATCCAAACCCCGAGATCCTTCTGTGAAGATTCTGCGGGAACCTTATATCTTTCAGGTGATAAGTCCTCAGACTCTCAGTTGAATGAGAGTTGGTTGGACGCAGATGAAGGACGACACACTTCTCCACATTGAAATCTAGAAGCCATTTCTTCCACCACGCTTGCAGTCGGTGCAGATTATCTTGAAGGGATCTCTGATCATTTGGATCCTTAATGACTTGCCAGAGCTTAACGTCGTCTGCAAACATTATTTTGCCGCAGTCGAGTTCCTGAAGGCTGTCGTTAACGTAAAGGATGAAGAGCAACGGTCCCAGAACTGAGCCTTGCGGCACACCACTGGTTACATTCACCCATTCTGACATATCATCCCCGATACAGACACGTTGTTTCCGACCAACCAGAAACGCCCTAATCCAGTTCAGAAGATCTCCCCGGATGCCGATGTCGCTCAATTTGTGAAGAAGACGTTGGTGTGGGACAGTGTCAAAAGCTTTGCGGAAATCGATGTACACGACATCGACCTCAAAACCCTCTTCTAGAGCACTGGTCCAGATTTCCAGACAAGCTAGCAGATTTGAGAGGCAGGAACGTCCTCTCCTGAAGCCATGTTGCAAATCCTGCAAGATGTTGTTTTCATCACAAAATTGCTGTATAGCGTTCTTTACTATAGCTTCCATCGTACTACTTACGTTTCACGTTTACTCAACATTGACAAAAAGGTAGGTAGGTGCTGTAAACGCACCCTTTTAGAGCTGGTTTGCCACAAGTAATGCCAATCACCGGTCGTACACACTTGTTTGCAAAGTAACTTACAATACTTAAATTCATGCATAAGTTACCATACAGACAATAAAGACATAAAAACGGCATTGAATTACGTGCCACAGCATCCATAAAATATAGACGTTCGTTGGCATTATGAAACTCCCGCAGACCTGCACGCAGCTTTCTTGACAGATAAGAGTACGGCAACGGATATAGCTAAACAAAAACATGCATTTCATCAGGACCCTACCAGTAGACTGCAACGGAAATTCCATAAACGAACTAGCAATTTTTTGGTTAGGAAGGATTTTTTAGGCGGAAATTGTGCACGCATGTCCGCGGCATATTGCCTGCGTAAGTAGTGAGGGTGTTACAACCATTCCAGTCTCCTAACATCCCCACTTACCGAGGGGACCATGTGCTGGCAGGGACGGATGCCAATATACTTTACCTTTTTTCTGAGGCAAGATCAAGAAGAGCTGGAACTTTTATCCAACTTTTTCACTTTCCTAAAAAACATATATATTCTTTTTGCTGCAGACGGGAGAGCTTACTTTACCCGTTACGTTGGAACCATTTTCACCATTTCGGCTTACTTTAGGCATCGTTCTACGAGTATGAATTGCTCGGATGAGGGGCCCAATAAAAAGTAACATACTGCTCAAAATGCTGATGTCCTTTCCGTTCCGTTTTAAATTACATATTAACGGAAGCTAAACCGTATAAAAAATATCTTATTACCTGTTTAAAAGTCAAAATGACCACTCGATGATGGACCCTTTCGCGGTTACTCAAACGACAGGGCAATAGCGGTTCACTCAAACAAAAAATCGCCTGTAGACGCTATTGTTGTATTCTGGGCAAGAAATAACGCAGGTTTGCATATCTGACTTTTTAAAATAAAGTGTCGGATATTCTATAAATAACCTGTATTTTCACATCCTCCTTCACCTGATTTAGGCAAGACAGAAAATCGATTTTCAAGTGCGACTAGTTTTCTTTGGCAAAGCACTTAAGATTAAACAAATTCCTCTCTCATAGGAAAATACACACAGATGCGCTAGCGAAGTCTAGAACTGCTAACTACGCAAGAAATTGTCGAATATATCGTAACGTGCATTTGCGCCAGACTTTGCGGTCATTTTCCCTCATAAAATTACGCAAAAGCATATTCTGATCGAATAAAGGACACCTTTGGAGGGGGCGGGGCACATGAATGTTATCGACAGCTGAAAGGGGCTCCTATGGGGTCACCTATTTCTGGATTTTTGGCTGAAGTCACAATGCAAAAATTAGAGGCTATGGCCTTACCATTATTCAATCCCAAATTGTGGGTACGCTACGTCGATGACACCTTTGTCATCGTCAAGAGAGATCAGCTAGAAACTCTGCATAAAGCTATCAACTCAACACTACCGGGAATTACGATCACGCTCGAAAGAGAAGCTAACAGCAAACTCCCATTTCTTGATGTCCTCGTACAGCGAAAAACTGACGGGACATTCCAGACATCAGTATACCGCAAAGAAACTTACGCGGAAGTTATCCTACATTACGAGAGCAACCACCCTATGGCTCACAAACGGAGTGCTGTTAAGACCCTACTTAATCGAGCAAAGACACATTGCTCTGAGAACGAAGGTTACAAAGAAGAACCCAATTATCTATTCAACCTATTTTCCCAAAACGGCTACCCCAGAGATTTTGTACGCAGATGCATGAAAGAGCAGGAATAAAAAGAAAGAGAGAAGGAACTAGATTGTTCCGATCAGACGCCAGAACCAAAACATTGGCGAACGCTTCCCTACATTAAAAATGTGTCTGAACTCGTTGAAAGACACCTGAGGAAGCACCAAATACAAGTGGCTCACAAACCGACTACCACGCTACGCAATCAGCTTGTACACCCTAAGGATAGGGTTGGCTATTTGGATAAGAAAGAAGTAGTCTATACGATTCCATGTGGCATTTGTAATGCAGTGTATTGTGGTCAAACCAGAAAATCCGCCTCTACACGCCTACATGAACACCAATTGGCAGTGAAGAGGCGGGACCACTTATCCCAAGTCGCCATGCATACTCTTGAAACTGGGCACAAATTCGCTTGGGATAAAACACGCATTGTCGGTTCCTGCCCATATAAGAAAGGCCGAGAATTCCTAGAGGCCATTCACTCTGATGATTCATGCATCAATCGACGCATCGACCTTGATACCATTTACACAAGTATGGAAAATGGAAACGGTAATAGCCAATCAAGACGTGACATCAGCCCACAGCATTAACCCACCCTCAGTCATGACAGAGCAATATCGATTTTTTCGGCATTGTTTAAATTTTGACTGTTTCTTCGCACTTACTACACGTCTGAAGACGAGCTGGGGAACCAGACTCGAAAATTTACGAAATAAAGTTTGTTCATTTTCCCAAAGGACTCATTCTTCTTCGAAGATAGAAAGATAGATAATTTTTTATTAAAGACCCGTAGGGATCCCATCAAAGCAAATTAAAATAAATTTACATGCGAGTTTTAGACGAGATAGGCCGAATCTTTGCAAAATGCAATTCATAGTTTCTGAATTAGTAGTCCATTGAGAAACATGATGATTGAGGGGTGAAAAAAAACTCCTTACAAAAAGTTAAAAATGATTGGATTAATTTTACAGGAGAAAAAAACCCTCAATAAAAATAATGACAGAAAAAAGCGAGCAGGACTGGTCTGTAGGTGGCGGTATATAACGGAATGTTGTCGGTCATCGGCAGGGTAGCAATAAATGTCAGCCTTGAGGGGTACGTATGCGGGTCAGACAGGACTGGCTTGCATATGGCATTGTATACGAGATTCACTATTGAGATCGTCTGGGCCGGATTGATACGCCGCATGAGACTATTCGCGTCAAAGAGGCCAGACGAGAGGAACCCAGATGTGATCGGCCACAGCACGCTTCGAGCTCAGCCGAGCAGTGGGGAAGGGAGGTACGACCAAACTACTAGTAGACGGTGAATACTGAGGGTTCCGCCGTGAGCGTCGACAGACCGCATGAGGTCGGAATGCGGGAGATGACATCAAAACCCGCGAAAATTGTCGCCATGGGGGAGGAGTGATAGCAGTGGATTTAGAAACCAATTCAAAACAGGGGTTTCTATTGATATAATTAAGAGTTACCACTTAATCTACCTTTAAATCCCAGGAGGACCCTTCTCGAAATCAAGAATCTGAGTGTTCGGGAATGAGACCGTTAACAGTGCCTTTATGCTTTCCGGTGTAAGATGTTTGCGTAATTTCGACTTGAATACCAGTAAGTTAGGCGATAATTTAATTTCAGGCGGAAGATTATTCCAAAGGAAGGCATATTTGGAAGCAAAGAAGAGGGAGCGCGTTTAGATGTAGTACAAAGAGGCGGCGGAATCACCATGCAGGAGTTGCGCGTGGCATAAGACCGATCTCTCGGAGTGAGAGTGTCAATGAGCGGAAGACTGGAGCTAGAGTTGGTGCGAAAAAGGAAGCAAAGGCCAGCTTCGAGTCTTCTAACCCACAAAAACTTAATGTTCGCCAGCTGACATCTCTGAGTATAAGAAATACTGGACGAGGCTTCAGAGAACAGTTTCCGGGTGAAAACCCTCTGAACATTTTCGATTTTATTACGGCCGCAGGCGTTCATTCAACCGAAGAAAGGACAGCAGTATTCGAGGACTGGAAGAACAAACATTTGATAAAGTCTTAGCTTCATTTGCGGAAGGAAAAAATTATGCAATATGAATCCACATATCTGCGCGGCTTTGGCAGAGATTCTATCTGCATGAGGTGATAAAGCAAGCTTATTTGATAACTTACACCTAGGTCCTTTATGGTGAGACATTCTGAGAGTGGGTTATTCTGAAAAATTATGGGACCAGGAAGTTTGGTAGGATCAAATGACATGAAACTACACTTGGATGATGAAAACTCCATCTGCCATGTCGAACCCCATCTGCTTAAGCGTAGTAAATCGGCATTAATTTTTTCAACACAAACATTTGCGGTGTTCTTAGAATATGCGTAAACACACTTGAGGTCATCGGCATAAGTAAAAGTTTGCGAATTTGCGAGTTCAGTCGAAATATCATTGATGTACAGAAGGAAGAGTAGCGGACCCAGAACCGTGCCTTGAAGTACGCCACTCGTGATCGAGTGGGGTGTTGAGTAGCTATTACCGACCATGACTTTCTGATATCGGTTGGATAGATAGGACCTGATGAAGTTGAGTAGAGGCGGCCGGATTCCGAGAGCTTCCAATTTTACTAAAAGACGTCTACGGGGCACCTTGTCAAAGGCTTTGCTAAGATCAAAGTAAATAACTACCACTGACTGCCGCTCATTACGAAGAGAAGTGATTAGATTAAGAAATGTTTGAAGTGCCTAGATCCCATGTGGTGCACTGACCTTTTAGACTGCTTTTCTTGTTATTCACAGACGTCATCAGTTGAAATTCAGGTTACGCTTTCGACCGACCTAATACACCGGGACAGCTGAGTCGTTCAAGTTTTGGTGGATGGCCAGGATATGCTACCTATTATTTGGCCTTAACCACATTGGCGTGACTGGTCGTTCGCGTTCAGTCATCAACGGAAAGAAATTGTTATCCATGAGTAATACGTTGATGAGTCTATTAAATCATTATTTCCTGTGAGATGTTAGCAACATCAAAATAAATGCAGCCTTAGCAGTGCGCTCTGCAGCGTAAACAGCAGATTTTATTTTCCAAGTGCAAATTTTTTGATTCTTATAAGTTGAATCTGGAAGATATTTTTTAATACATAATATCGCTTATGTTCTTATGATGACTAACAAATGAATTTGTCACTTCATTAGAGTATAAGAGATTAATCCACTAGTTGGGCACAGCGAGTAGGCTATCCAGGAAACGAAAAT